CCTGCAAGTATTGTAGGTTGTTTCATTGTGAAAAATGCTTGGACTGCAGTTCAGTTGCTCAGTAGAAGTGGGAGACTGCCAAGCTGCCTGTTGCCTTTGTGTCGTATCTGCCTTTTCAGTAGAGATTATGTGGCTACTGCATCGCAGGAGGGGCAGCCATGGATGAAGCTGTGTGGGAATGCAGCTGTATCAGGGTCAGCAATCGAGTTTCTCTTTTGCACCTCAAGATAGCAGAGGGTTTGTAGGAAAGGGGAAAGGACTGAGGTTCATGAAATGAATCATGTTCATGAACAAGAACTGAGCTTCATGAAATTGCTGCCATTTCTGAGAAAACACATGGGAGGCCAGGAAGAAGTAAGGCAGAGAGGGAAATCTAGTAACAGGAGGGGAAAAATCAGGCAGCAGTTTAGTCCATTTTTGGTTGATTGTGAATTGAGGGCTCCCCAAGAGCCTTTACAAAAGGGGACAGGGTTCCTCTGACAAAGGAAGACCCATTTTTTCCATGAATCTTTCTGAGAGGAGGGCCCATGAGGAAAACTCTCAGTGGCCTTAGGATGAAATACAGAGCTGGACTTCTTTGAAAATACAAAAGAAGGGCAGGAGGGATTCTCCAGAGAATGGGATCCCAGAGAAAGCATGGAGGAGCACCCTCCTCTCCGCATCATAGAAGGCCACCTGCCCCATATCACGGCTTTGAGACACGCAGATCCTCTCCAGCACCTCACTGAGGGGAGGAGGAGGGGAATGAGGGGGGCCGCAAACCACGTGTGGACCTTGCAGTTTTCCACAGTCCAGGACCCTTTCCTGGGACTAACAGCAGGCAGTGCATTTCTGTCCAAAGACCTCCGGGCAACCCCCACAGTCCAGTGTTGCCAAACTTCAGATAAATCATGGCAGAAAAGGGATGCTTAGGTGTCCTTGTGTTGTAAAATGCCTGCACCCCTCTTTCTCAGGGAAGCACCCAAAAATTCCAAGCCAGGTTGCTGTTTGGCATTGGCTGTTATGTTAAGAAGTGGAAGCTGATGGCTTCCCCCAAGAAGCTGCCAGGGCCCTTTCCATACAACTGCTGGGGTTCAAGGAACCTGGTTTTCCGTATTGTGGCTCCCTCGACACCAGTCTGTGGGCCTCTGGTTTGTGTTTCATTGTGAGGGCAAAATGGCTGCTGAAAGCCAGCGCAGTCCTTCAGGTTCTTTTCGTGTTGTGTCGTCTTAATCCAACCTCCCCTATTGCTTCTCTCGCATGTGCCTCTAGCAAATTGCCTGTGTGGTTCCCTTGACAGAATCCTGGTTTTCATAGCATAAACACCCGGGTTGGTGAGAAAGATCAAACGTTTGAACCTCTGCTGCTTTATTGTCCGGAGCCCCAGTACCTGCAGTCACTAAGGATGATGCATTACTGGGTAGAGGTAAACACAACTATAAAATCACAGTCCCTTTACAGACACTTTTATTACCTGCTAGTCACATACACTAATACAGAGTGTTATGTTTCCAGATAATGTGGGTACAACAGCATCCTGATGTCTTTAGGCGTGACATAATGTTCCAACCAATCAGAAATACTGGTAACAATATTATGGAGAACATTACTGACTGCTGTGTTGATGGGTCAGTCTGGCAAATTTGTGACAGTGCAGGTCAGCAAGGCCTGCCTGTTTCAACAGGCCAATGTGTCTGAGGGAGGAGCATCCAGGGAGTCTGGTCTCACACCTGCGCTCCGTGGGCGCTTGCAGCAGCTTCTTTTTTTAGTTGAGCTAAAAAGCAACCTGGCTGGGAATTCTACCGCTTTGTGACAAAGAGGCATAGATCTGATTTTATAACACAAAGGGACATAGAAGCAATGCTTTTCTACCAGGATTTATCTGACACTTCCCAACACCTTCTAGTCCCAAACTCTGTATCTATCCAAGAGGTTATATAAAAGTATCTTCTTCGGACCCCTGCACTGACCAGGAATCGATGTCGCTGGTCGTGCTCGCCACATACACCTTACAAATGCTGATTCTTGCCCACCCCAAAGGTTCATGCTTTTGTGCTGCATTGTCTTAATCCATTCAACCCTGTTGCTTCGCTCTCCTCTGCCCCTAGCAAACTGCCCACCCGATCCCCCCCTCCCCAAACTGTGCAGGCAGCAGAAAGGTTACAAAAGCATCCAGTACAGACCTCAACTTAGCAGTTCCTTCAGGAGCCACCAAATGCCACAAGTCTCAATAACATAAATAAAGCCAGGAATGAGAGTGGGACTGCCCAGGAATGAGAGTGGGACTGGTCACTTCTGGAGCGGACGGAAGCTTCTTCCACTCTGCCTTCCTTGCTCTTTCGGTATGCTCCCTTGCTGGTTCCCCTCGTGAGGGAATAGCAGAAAAAACCTTTTCCTTTTCAAAGTTAAAGAGCTCAGGATGGGCAGTCAATTGAATGGTGTTTTGACCGGTCATTTTGGGATGGAACCGTCCCTTAATTTCAACTCAGAGCCTGCCCAGCGTATGTCATTGCCCATTTCTGGATCTGCCTGGGATCAAGAAGGCACCTGAGGGCCCCCTTCCCCCTGACCCCACCAAGATGCGAAAGGGAAGCAAGCATGAACGTCCCTTTCAATACCTTTTTCTGCTTCTCTAAACTGAAAGTGAACTGCTCCTCCCTCTCCAGGATCTGCTGCAGCGTCGCCTGGAGAGTCTGAGGGATGAGAGAGGAAGGATTTTGGCATGTAAAGCAGAGGCAGAAAGGGAGAAGCAGGTGCTGCTCGTAAGTGTCCAGAATGTGACATGGGATGGAAGGGGTACTTCAGCCAGGATGGGTCACATGCTGGAGAAAATGCCCGGGAATCAAGAGTCCCAGGGCAGCCCTTCCCTGCAGAGCAAGTGACATTGTTCAAAGTGCTGAAATTACCATCGCAATTACGCAAGACTCGTTCCACACACTCCTTCTTGCAGGAGCAAACAAAGGCAGAGCGGGAGGGGACGGTGGCTCAGTTCAGGCGACTGCATCAGTTCCTGGAAGAGCAAGAGAAGCATGTCCTGGCCCAGGTGGACAAGCTGCTGGAGGCGATTGCCAGGAAAGCGGAGGACCACCTGGCCTGGCTTTCCAAGAAACTCTTTTCCCTTGAAGGCCTCATGCGGGAGGTGGAGGAGAAGAGCCGGCAGCTGGCAGCTGAACTCCTGCAGGTAGGAGGGGGCAGGAGCCCCCACATCCCCCGAGGAGACTCAGCCAGATGCTGCTCGCCTCTGCGTGTGTGGAGGGAGGGCCGAGGCAGGCAGTGAGGACCCTTTGATGGGGCCACCCTGTGGTGAGGCCCTTCATGAGACCCAGGCTGAAGCAGAGGGTGGTGCGGGGCTGGGGAAGCAACCGCAAAGCAGTCTGGCCTAGTGGTGCTGCCAATCTGGAAGGCAGGTCGGACCTATTCCTGTGCTAAGCAGAATCTCAAATATGGTGCAGCCCCAGGACAGGCAGACCTTAACCTCACTCCTCATGCATGTTTCCGCTCACAACTGATGCCCCCAAAGCCTGACGAACTCTGTCTGCTGCACACAAGAGGGAGCTTCTCAGTGTGGCTTCTGTGGGCAAGCACCCCAGTGGTCTGCTGCTGTAAAGGAGTGGTTGATTTCTGCCTGGGGAAGCCAGGAGAAAGCTGCCCTCCAAAAGACTGGCTGAGGAAGCAAAAGAGGCTGTGGGAGGCATCTGGCATGAGTCCGAAGCCTATCATATCCTCCCTTCTTGAACATGCTTCAGGGTTGTGCCTGTTTCCAGAGGGCAGCATGCATGTTGGCCTGGCAAGCAGCATCATTACTGGCAGGAGCCTCCATGATGGGCATCAGTCTTGGCACTCAACAGGAGGCGTCCTGGCGGTGATGGAATCTCCCAGGCCATTCATGTCCCTCCTAAGGAAGCACCTCCTGGTGCCCCCTGGTAGGGATGGTTTCTGTCCACCCTTTTGTGCCCTCAAGTGGAGGCACCGAACAGGACTGGGCAGGCGCATCTCAGGAGTGCAGAGCGACACCCACTGAGCCCCTCCTCTTTCCCTCTTTCCCCTCCAGGATGTGAGAAGCACCTTGCAGAGGTGAGTGCGTCCCCCTCGTTTCCACTGGTGCAGGGAAGGGTCTGGACGGCACTGGGAGGACTGGCTGCTCCCGGCTCCTTAGCAGAGAACACAGATCACCAGCGTCTTGCAAAACAAAAACAGGATCTGGCTGCTGAGGTTGGAACGCTCCTTCTCCTTCCCCTCCCTCACACACGGCAGAAGACTCTGCTCTGCCAGCAACCACACAGCCCACCACTAGGCACATATATGCAGACCCCACAATCCAAATATCACCCCCAAAGGGGCAAACCTCCCACAACCCACAAAGCACACGCAGTGCTTACACTAAGCATAACTGAACAAAAGCAAAACGCCCCGACTGCCCCAGTCAGCTGAAGCCCTGCCCACCTGTGTGGCTGCCGGAGGGTTCTCTGGGGACCATTCCCCCACAAAAAAGGAGGCCCACCTTTTGTGCGTGGCTGGCCCTCCTTTGCTCCCAGAGGGAATGCAGGGTTGGATGAGTGGAGGCTGCCTCTGTTTTCTCTGGCAGGAGTGAGAAGGAGCCCTGTGAGATCCCAGTGGCTTTCCCTCTGGAGCTGAAATGGAGGATCTGGGACTTCTCTGATAGAAAGCCTGATCTGGAGGGATGGAGGAAGCAATTCCCTGTAGTCATGAGTGAATCCAAAGGTATTAAGATAAGACTGGGAAGACCTTTTCCTTCTCCTGCTGCTGTTTTAAGTGATGGTAAAAGCTGCAATGGGAGAAATTTAGTTGCCTGGCTACCAATTCGCTATTTTTTTGTTGCCTTGTTTCCCCATCAGGAAAATCAGCTGGTGTGGAGAGGGCTTCCTGGGGGTTTTCGTTCCTGCTTTGGGTTTTCACCACCTAGAATCATTTGGCATCACTCTTGTATGGCAGTCCTGCTTCCACCAGAATCATACAATAGCAGGGCCGGAAGGGGCCAAGAAGGCCATCA